ATTCAAGCCTCCAGCATGCCCGGTTTGGTGGGTCAGACCAGAGGCCCTCCCCAAATTCTTGCACAGCACCTGCAAAGATATTGAGAGATGTAGTTCTGGTTCTAACCAGCAGGTGGTGATTTTCTCAATATGCTACCTTTGTTGCAAAGGAAAAGTATCAATTTTTGCAAGAAGAGACAAAGACAATATGAAATAAATAGTCCTAAATAATTTTTAATTCATATGTATAGGAATTTATACATATATATGAAAATATATATAAGAATAGAGAGAGAGAGAACATATTATATATATATATATATATATATATATATATATATATATATATATATATATAAAGACTCAAACTGTATGTATGATTTCATTTGTTGATAATGACTCCCAAAGCTGAGTCTCTCACAACCATTCATTTATTCAGCACACATATGTGGAACACTGGTAGCTCGAGTCCATGTGTCCATCCCACTCTTTTCTCTGATCCCCAGACTCTCATTTCCAGCTACCTACAAGACTTGTTCACTTGGAGACAAATGACTACAATTCCTTTCTGTATGTATGGAGTGGGTTTGTGTATGTGTATGTGTTTCTCTGCTGTTCAACTGAAAACTAAAGAATCAGACAGGATAACTCATTAAATAATAAAAAGAAATGGCACAAATATCCTTTCCTCTTTCCAACTCCATATATTACAATGAAAAAAAAATAGCACCAAGCTCATAAATATGTATACATTTTGTATCTTTTGTGTATATTTTCATATGCTCTTTATTACAGTCATGCTATTTCTTCTACATCAAAAATCCCATTTGATAGAAAAGAGAACTCTGGGACTAGCATTTTTAACATTTCTTAAAGTCCTAGGATGTGCCAGACACTTTCTATAGTTTGTCTGATATTCTCCATCAAAATCCTGTTAGGCAGGAATTTTGCTACTCAGCAATATCTATTTCCTTCACTATTATTTTCCATTTGTATATACACATGATAAAATATTGTAAGTATGTACATGTGATAATAAAGATACATTTATTTATGAAAGCACTATATTGATGAAAGGGTTGTGGAAAAAAACAAAAACGTTGCAGCCAAAATCTGTCACATCTCAGTAATCACCAGTGCAGGGAGCTACCTAATGCCCAGGATCAAGTAAGCCACCAATGTCTTTTGCGTCCCCAAGCCATCCCCAGCCACTCACATAACCAAAACCATGTGATGGAGAATGGTTGGGTGGAGGGCAAGGCTAACCTGAGAGATTGTAAGTATTTTCAGGGAAATGGAATGTGCCAGAATAGGCAAAGCCAGGTGCAACCGGAGCCAATGAGGACAACTAGAGCAATTATACAAAAATAAAGGCCCTACGTAGTTTGGCTGACCTAAGTGCATAGTGATCAGATCAGGGCACCATTGTGCTAGAAGATAATCAAATTGGAATTCTCAGTTTAATGTTCAATGTAGAAGTTAATATTTTCAGTAGACAGTCTAATGCCTTTACATTGTGGACATTCACTTCTTCACTTTAAACTAACACTGTTCTCATGTTTTCTGCCAAACCATTTTTATTCCCAGTGTATGAAAATGAATTGTGTCAATGGGAGAACAAGAATGCTTTGTATTCAGCCATATTTATTTTGGGAATTTAATAGAGAGTATTCATAGCGAGACTACTTTCGTGGGGGATGGGAGTCAAACATCCTTTAAATAGGAATGAAGGCAACCTAATTTTGTTCTCAATTTGTATGGTCTTTGTTTGTATTACCAACAAGCAAAAATATTGTCATTCAATCTTTCATTAGTGAGCGCATTAAAATAAAATATTTAATTTTGATAAAAATTATTCAGTTGGACATTATGTTTTTGTATGCTTCCTGCTTAGTTTTGACAGTGAGATTTTTGAACTGGCGGTTTTTTTTCTCCAGAGTCAAATGACAAATAGGTTTCTTCCTCTGTAAACACTGTCCATGTACTAGCAGATAAAACTTTAGAAATGAGGGCAAAATGTGTCCTGAGTCTTTTACATTAATATGATTTTAAAAATAGTATTCAAGGCTCAGCAAAGACTAGTGCTGACTTTCTGTATTCTAGACATCCGGTTGACATTTCCGCCTTCACTATGTGAACTTTAACTGAGATTTGCATGAATAAAAGGTTATTTATTCCTAGTCCTTTCTCTGTAACATGGTTTATGCCTTTGATTTCCTGATCTATGAAATACAGATCATCACTCCTTGCCAAAAAAGAGACTGTGGTCATTATACAAGAGCTTATAAACTGAGAATCCCTGTACAATACAAGAAAGCCATATTTACACGACTCATGGCATGTCAAAAATGAGAATCATTCTTATTTTAGGAAGGCTCTTGGGGGGCTGGCTGTAGTGTCCCCATTTTTCTCATTGAATATTTTTATCCTTGATAGTTCTGAAATTTTGGCAAACATTTTCATTAACCTCCATAATAACCGAAGCAATGAAAACTCTCATCTTTTTTTTTTTTTTTTGAGAGAGAGAGAATGAGAGAGAGCACATGAGAGGGGGGAGGGTCAGAGGGAGAAGCAGACTCCCCGCTGAGCAGGGAGCCGGACGTGAGACTCGATCCCGGGACTCTAGGATCATGACCTGAGCCGAAGGCAGTCGCTTAACCAACTGAGCCACCCAGGCACCCAAGAACTCTCATCTTATGTATCTACTTATATATAGTTACTATATCAACTATATCTGGATGAAGTATATAATGCCAGCTTCTTCATGTTTCTGATTTTAATTTCATTCCCTTTCTTTTTCTACTCCCGATTTTCTAATTGAATCTCTGTTTATACAACGATAATTGTGAAATATTAATCAAATCTGTCTTTTGATTTTAACTGACCTGGTTTTAGAGGTCTTATATTCCTTCAGTTAATATTAGTTTACAAGCAGAGGATAAAAATTAGGGACCTGAGGACCACAATTTTTTCCACATAATATTTAATTATTTAAATAATTGTCAACATCTAAAAATTGGGATATTTCACATATAAATACAGTTTTCTGGCTTATCTTTAAAAATGGGGTTTGGTCACATGGGGCCTACATTTTTACATTCCCCCCGGAAAACAACTGGCTGGAGCTGATAGCAGTTTCCTCATCAGGCATTCATCATAATATTTATCACTCCCTATTCTATGACTCCACACACTGACACAGAATGTTAGTTTCTATTTTGCTATTAATGCTATTGATTTTCTTACAGTAAAGAGAAAACTGAAATATTTCTTGCCTCCATTTAACCAAAAGTGTGGGACCAAAAGACTGAGAGTGTTGTTCATTTCAAGAAAACTGGAGGGAGAATATTCACCTGTAGAAGCAAAGGTTCTTCCCTTGATTTTTACATAGACCAATTTTCATTATTTACATTACCAATGTGGCCACCCTAGGCTTTGAGTATAGCCTTCCTGGAGTTAAGTTTTCCACGTCACATCACTAATATGCCACACAACCTTTCTGAGGAGAATATGGTATATATGCACATTCTAAAATATTTAAACACTTAAAGGACAAGCATATTTGAAGTGACTTTTTTTTTTTAAAGATTTATTTATTTGACAGAGAGAGACACAGCGAGAGAGGGAACACAAGCAGGGGGAGTGGAGAGGGAGAAGCAGGCCTCCCGCCGAGCAGGGAGCCCGATGCGGGGCTCGATCCCAGGACCCTGAGATCATGACCTGAGCCGAAGGCAGACGCTTAACGACTGAGCCACCCAGGCGCCCCCTGAAGTGACTTTTTAATGACAGACTAGAAGAATGTCATTTGATGGGATATAATGAACTTTCATTTGCTATATTTAGTACTGTCATATTTTTTTTATCAGAAAAAGGATTATATTCTTCCTCCTAGCAGGTCACAACAGGGTATTGGATACAATACGTATTAGATAAATTCAATTCTGTGCCAAGTTACCTCCGGCCATGATATTTTCCTCTGACCCAATGAGTGAAGTTATATAGCATTTCAATTGTGCCAGATCACTTTTAGAGATAGACAGTGGTCTGAATTAGGAAACTCTAAGACAGGCTTTGCCTGTTTTCAGAGTGGTTTGCTTTATGCCTTTACAAGAATTGTATTGCAAATATTCAACATAACTTTAAGTGCCTAATATCAGGGAATGGACTTAATGGATTTGGATTTTCAGTAATAGAAGTAACTCCCACTGCTTTCTACATGTGTAACTTTTATTTGTGAAGTATGGGAAAGCATTAACTTAACTGCTAAATGCCCTCTCTCAAAATTTCAGATATTGTATTTGTCCACATTCCATGCTGGCTCTTGTTCATATCCAGCCATTTGGTAATGTCATGAAAATAGTTTTGTTTATTCACGTGTGCATTTGTTTTGGTCAATTATGCACAAATAATATCTGCTTTGGTTTAAAAATGAACACGTGGCCTGCAATTTTACTCCTAGGTATATACAGAAAAGAATGAAAGCAAGTGTTCAAACAAAAACTTACACACTAATCTTAAAAGCAACATAATTTATAATAGCCAAAAGATGGAAATAACCCAAATGTCCATCAATGGATGAATGGAGAAATGAAATGTGGTATATGCATATAATGGAATATTATTCATACATTAAAAAGTACTGATACACGCTACAACATGGATGAACCTTGAAAACATTATGCTAAGTGAAAGAAGCCAGACGCAAAAGGTCACATATGATACGATTCCATTTATATGACATGTCCAGAATAAGGATAGCCATATAGACAGAAAGTACATTAGTGGTTGCTTAGGACTAGGGGAAGAATGAGGGGATAAGAGAGTGATAGCTAAGGGGTACAGAATTTCTATTTATGGTGATGAAAATGTTCTAAAAAACCATTGAATTGTACACCTTAAATGAGAAATTGTATGGTGTGTGCTTGCTATCTCAATAAACTTTCACAAAAATATAAATTTTCTAAATGAACACATGAGCCCTCTGGTTTTAGTCAATGAACTTTTAATTCAAGGAGTACTTGGGTCCACCATGTTCAAGTTTTCAGACTGACTCCCAGTACAACTGTAGCAGGGAAGAAATTTTTGCTTGCTTTGTTTACCACTATATCTACTGCATCTAGAACAGCGCCAATAAATTTCTTTTTGAACACCATGGGTAATTTTCCAATATTTAAAATCAGTATCCACCAGAAGATAAGCTTCAGGAAGGCAGGAATTTGTGACTGTTTTCTTCACTGCTGCTTCTCCTGACCTTGAACAATGCCTGGCACAAAGTGGGCACTCCACAAATATTTGTAAAATGAATGTACAGCTTCTTCTGTTCCCAGCTCAATGGAACACTGTCCGTAACATCCAACCAGACAATAAAATGGTGGGAGAGGAACCTAAATGAAAGAAAATGAATTGGCAATGAAAAAAACAGATCACTCAAAGCAGAAATGGCAATCAAATATGTGAAAAGTTTTTCAAACCTCCTAAAAATTGAGGGAATTAAAGGACAGCAAAGTGGAAGGCTGATCCTGCTCTTTGCACTTGCTAACACTAAGGTTTCTGTCACCACTTCACTAAGATATTCTGTATACCTCCCATACAGACACACAAACACAACTGGAGAGACAGACTAGAGAAACAAAAGACTTCAGGCTTGATGAAAGTGGAAGTTCATTAAGGGTGGTCTATAGCTGACTGTCTTGATGGTGGGGCCTGGTTGTCACACACATCTAGATCCCCTCCTCTCCTCCTTACACCTGACACCCCCATTGGGATGTGTGTGTGTGTTTGTGTGTGTGTGTGTATTTATGTGTCTGCTGTGGAATGAATCAGATCCAAGTCTTGGAAATCCACTTCAGCCAGAACCTCTCATCTCACATCTGTTCATCAGTTAAGATTTAGTGTAGAAAAGGTCCGCACCTGATGTTCTTGAGTGAGTGCCTGTACATTGTTACCTTCATTGCCAAAAGGAGGAGACAGAAAAACATTAAACTGATGTAAAAAAAAGAAGTCAAAGAGGACTAGAAGATCCACCCCAAATCTGGGGCTTTTACGCGTAATTCAACTGGGGAATGAGAGGTCCAAGGAACTGTCCAAGATGATGCAGTTAACTAATCAGAGAGAAAAGACTGGGACCTAATTATCAAAAATAAAGAATATCCACTACCCTACAGAGTAAGTCAGTATATCTATATCACCTGATTTATAACCACTGGATTTACAGTTGAGGTTCCATGGTATCCTGAAAGGAACATAGAATTGGCAGTTAGGACTTTGGTTCTCATCTCTGATCATCCACCTAGTGGCTGTGGGATCCCAGACAAGATAATTCACTGAATTGTGCTCTAGTCTCTTCATCTGGGAAATGGAGGTGATAACTCCCCACACCACAAGAATATAGAGGATAAAACTGACAGGCCAGACAAGGTAGCAGCCATGGTGCCTGGCATATGATAGGCACTAGGATATCCCTCAGCTCCCAAGCAGGCAGAAGTCATGTGTCTTATGTCTTAACTCTTCTGCTTCTTCTCTACACCTCAGGCTTCCATGATCCTAACTGCCTTCCCCAGCACAGTGATTAAATGCAGAAAAGGCAATGATGTCCTCCAGGAGGAAAACTCCCAGGGAGAAACTAATTTAAGTATGAATTTTGCTCCTTAATTCTATTGCCAATGCTATTGCTGACTTTAACATTAACCTCCAGATTGGCTACCTCCCTCTGTTCAACCCCTGTAGTCTCAATGAATATCAGCCCTCTGCCTCTGCTAAGCAGCCTCAATGTCACAACAGGCCATTGCTTCAACAACTCTCCTGACAGTTTCCTCAATTCTCTTACAACCATCCTCCTTTTATTCCAACCACTGCTTAAGAAACCACACACTACAAAGTACACAGTGGCATTATTTATCATACAAAATCCTGGAAACAAGACAAGGATAAATTCCCACAAATAATATAAAGTCAGAGGTTCTGCACATTTTATTTATTTTTTAAGTTTTTATTTAAATTCCAGTTAGTTAGCATACAGTGTAATATTAGTTTCAGGTGTACAATATAGTGATTCAACACTTCCATACAACACCCGGTGCTCATCACAACAAGTCCACTCTTTAATCCCCATCACCTATTTAACCCATCTCCCCACTCATCTCCCCTCTGGTAAACATCAGTTTGTTCTCTATAGTTAAGAGTCTGTTTCTTGGTTTGCCTCTCTCTCTCTTTTTCCCCCTGTGCTCATTTGTATTGTTTCTTAAATTCCACATATGAGTGAAATCATGATACTAATCTTTCTCTGGCTGACTTATTTCACTTAGCGTAACACTCTCTAGCTCAATCCATGCCATTGCAAATGGCAAGATTTCGTTCTTTTTTATGGTTGAGTAATATTCCATTGTACATATGTACCACTTCTTCTTTATCCATTCATCAGTCGATGGACACTTGGGCTGTTCCCATAATTTGGCTATTGTAGATAATGCTGCTATAAATATCGTAGATAATGCTGCTATAAATATCTGGTTGCATGTATCCCTTTGAATTAGTATTTTTGTATTCTTTGGGTAAATGCTAGTAATGCAATTGCTCAATCTTAGGATAGGTCTATTTTTAACTTTCTGAGGAACCTCCAAACTGTTTTCCAGAATGGCTGCATCAGTTTGCATTTCCACCAACAGTGCAAGAGGGTCGCCTTTCTCCACATCCTCGCCAACACCTGTTGTTTCCTGTGTTGTTGATTTTAGTCATTCTGACAGATGTGAGGTGGTATCTCAGTGTAGTTTTAATTTGTATTTCCCTGATGATGAGTGATGTTGAGCATCTTTTCATGTCAGCCATCTGGATGTCTTCTTTGGAAAAATGTTTGTTCATGTCTTCTGCCCATTTTTAATTGTATTATGTATTTGGGGGGTGTTGAGTTTTATAAGTCTTGTCTTGGAGCCAAGATGTCCTTCAACAGATGAATGGATAAAAAAATGTGGTTCATATATACAATGGAATATTACTCAGCCATCAGAAAGGATAAATACCTACCATTTACATCAACATGGATGGAACTGAAGGGGATTATGCTAAGTGAAATAAGTCAATCAGAGAAAGATAATTATCATATGGTTTCTCTCATATGTGGAATATAAGAGATAGTGCAGAGGATCATAGGGGAAGGGAGGGAAAACTGAATGGGAACAAATCATAGAAGGAGCGAAACCATGAGAGATTCTTGACTCCAGGAAACAAACTGAGGGTTGTGGAAAGGGGAGGTGGGTGGGGAGATGGGGTAACTGGGTGATGAGCATTAAGGAGAGTACACAATGTGATGAACACTGGGTGTTATATGCAACTCATAAATCATTGAACACTACATCAAAAACTAATGATGTATTATATGTTGGCTATTCGAATTTAAATTAAAAAAAAAGAAAGATGCTATTAGTCTTATTTTACATATAACCCAATTGAGGCACACAAGGACATCCATCCTATAAGAGACGGAAGAAGCGTTCTGGATCTTGGTCCCCAGCACCCAGAAACCTCCCATTTGGAAGCCTTGTGGTCTTCCAGTCTCAAGGATTGGTTGTCTTAACTTGCTGGGTTGACTTCATAGGTTGTATCATGCAGAAAAGGGGTAAGTGGCCTTAGCGTGATGACCTTGTGATTCAACCAGTCCTCAAGTTACTGAGGTAGTTTTATAAAAGCACAGTCTTTAAATGGGGAAAGAAGACCTGTGGGAAGGGTGATAAATTAACTATTTTAGAGTCTCACCTCATGCCAGCATTTTTTAGACCCTTTAATTCTAACTACAACCAATGGAGGCCAAATCTACAATTCCCATTATACAAATGAGGAGAGTAAAGCAAAGACAAAGAGGGTAAGGTTCTTGAAAGCTGAATCAAACCTAAAACATAAGCTCCTTTCACATCATCCTGATGGTTTTCCAATATGAAAATAACTCTGAATGTTGTAAGCATGTAATTTACAGCTGAGGGATTATGTTTTAGCTGAACTTGGTAGTATCCTGGAGAGAATATGGGGTTGGCAGTCCAAAAGGCATTGGTTACCATCTCTGTCTTTTTTTTCAGGGGTTGTGTGACCCTACACAATATCCCTCTTATTTTCAAACCTTAGTTTCCTTATCTAGAGAATGGGGATGATAATTATCTTCCTCGCAGGAATAAATAAAATAACATATGTGGGACAAATGCTCAGAATTCCCTGAGTTCCCTACAGGGCAGGAACCAGAGAACCCATCTGCAATGGAACCATGTACCAGTTGACATTTAAATGGCAATAGTAATAGCAGTAAATTGCTGGAGAGTACAATCAAGTATAGAGGTAATAACAACCAGCAATCCAAATACCCACCGATAAACAAAGTTAACATTTGGATACAGTTTCCATATATATATAGATAGGTAGATAGATTTATAATTTATATAACTGTATTAATACATAACATAGATGGAGGGAAAGGAAAATACAAGATAATAACTTGTTTTGAGCAAACATAACAATTATGTAATCAGTAAAAGTAAACAAAATTAAAAAATTTAAATATAGGATAAACCTGTGAATTAAACCACAAAAATTATTTTAGAAATGTATTTAATTTCTTGGAAAATATGTTGTTATCTGAAAAAGACATGTTGCAAACATATGGTATGGTAAGATTGCATTTTCCTTTGAAAATATATTTATCTTTATATTTCTATTACATATATTATCTCACACATGCACGTGTATGTGTGTGCTCACACATATGCAGAGTTCTCTTTAGGTAAGAGTATAGATGAAAGGAACTTCTTATCACTTGCTGTGGTTTAAGACAGTGTACATTGTGGAGGAAAGAAGAGTCCAGTGATTTATTATAAAAGTTCACATATTCCCAATTTAAGGCATTCTGGTAAAAATAATTCATTTTAATTTATGTTTCACTTTTCTAAATATAAGGATCTATATATGAAACCTATATATTTTTCCTCATACTAACCGAAGAATTCATCTCTATTTGTGTTCTCTGTCTCTACTTAAGTAGGCAGTCCTCACTTAAACAATTAAATTGCTCCCAAACTCCTCAGGCAAGAAGTCCAATGACTCATTTTTTCCATAATTAAAGGCACAGTATATGTTTCAAGTCCAGTAATGGCAGAGTAACTCATGTTGGACCAATCCTCCCATAGCTCACAATTAACAACTCTGGAAAAAATTAATATAACTATCTGAAAGCACTTGAAATAGACTGAAAGCAAGCAGAGATTGGAAGGAAGTTAACATTTGGAAGAGGGAATAGAATCTGACTGCCTGTTTTTATGACATTTTGCCTGGTTACATGTGGAATGTCTAAAACTCAGATGGACATCTCTAGTCTTACTAGTTTAGGACTCAATGGACAGATTTTGGG